AAGGGGGGCTGTGTCACACTTTGGGGAGATCAGGCCAGAGGAAGAAGTGTTTTAAAAAAGTTTTGAGAGAGAGAGAGACCGGGCACGAGTGGGGGAGGGGCAGAGAGAGAGAGGGAGACAGAATCAGAAGCAGGCTCCCGGCTCTGAGCTGTCAGCACAGAGCCCGACGTGGGGCTCAAACCCACAAACCGTGAGACCGTGACCTGAGCTGAAGTCGGCCGCCTAACCGACTGAGCCCCCCGGGGCGCCCCGTCCCTGTTAAAATCCTTGACGGCCCTTCCCGCATCGCAGCCACGGCTACGCACGGTGGCAGGACATCCAGAACGACGCTCAGTTTGCCATTATCAATGAGCCGTTTAAGACCGAAGCCAATAAGGGGAATTTTCTGGAGATGAAAAATAAGTTCCTGGCCCGGAGGTTCAAGGTGGGGACCCGAGACAGAAGGAACGGTGCTGAGCAGGGGCTTGGGGCGGAGGCGGAGCCAGGTCTGGAGGGAAGGTTGACACCGTGACAGTGGCAGCCATGCTGGGGGCCGAGAGCGGAGCGGGACCTTGTGTTGGGCCGGGGCCAGGTCAGGGTCAGGCTGGGCTCACGGGCGGGAGCGCTGGGCCGGACGCCCTGGGCCCCCTCCCTCCGCGCACCCCGGTGCTCAGGTGCTCACCACGCCCCCCCCCCCCCCCCCGCAGCTCCTGGAGCAGGCGCTGGTGATCGAGGAGCAGCTTCGGCGGGCGGCCTACCTGAACCTGTCGCAGGAGCCGGCGCACCCCGCCATGGCCCTCCACGCCCGCTTCGCCGAGGCCGAGTGCCTGGCCGAGAGCCACCAGCACCTCTCCAAGGAGTCGCTGGCGGGGAACAAGCCGGCCAACGCCGTCCTGCACAAGGGTAAGGGCCGCGGCGGCCCCGCGCGGGGGAGGGCCCACAACGCTGCGTAAGTCTGCACCCCGCACCCCTCAAAGTCTTCCCGCCCCCTCTGACCCCTTTCCCCTCTGAACCCCCCCCCTGCCCGCTAACCCCACCCCCACCCCCACCCCCACCCCCACCCCCCAGGCCACCGAGGTTCTAGCCTCTAGGGTTTGTGCGAGCCGGCCCTCGTCTGTGCTGCTCGCGGTCACGCCAGTGCCCACCGCAGGGACCGTCCCCCTCCCCCAAATCCATGAGACTGTGCCGCGTCCCCTCCACAGGGCGGCACTTCTTCGTTGATCCCCCCCTGCCAGCCACACGGCTACTAGCACCCTCTCCGGGGCCTCGGCCTGCGTGTGGTGCCCCGCAGCCCTTCCCGCCCCTGCCCCAGGATTCCCCAGCCTCACGCCTCCCCCGGCCCACCCTCTGACCCACCCCACGACACTTCCCTTTGACCTTCACCCCTTTCTCCCCAACCCTCTGACCCCGATGATGCTAGATTAAATTCCAAAACCCTCTAACCATCTAATCCTGTCTGACGTAGTGACTGACTCCCGGCCCCCTCGATTCCTGTTCTAATTCCTTGAATCTGTGATGCTGATCCTCTAACCTCCGTCCCCCTCACATATTAAAACCTCGATTCCTCGAATCTTTGACACCACTCACCACCTCCCACACCTCCTGACTATTTCCTCCCCGTCATCCCCACCCCCAAAACCTCACTCTTGCAGTATGGGATGTTCTGACGACTCCCCGCCCCGTGTTTTCCAATGTCTGCCCCCGCCCCCCCGTCTCCGTGTTCCCGTTTCCTCTCCTCTCCTGCCGTCTGTGCTCTGGCCTCTCTGACTCTTGACTTCATACCTTTTCTGTCCCCCCGCCCGAGTCACTCTTTCTGTCTGCTTCTGTCCTTTTCTTGATCTCTGGTTCTTTGGTATCTCTGACCTCCTCCTCCTCTCCCTCTCTCTCCCTCCCTCTCCCTCTCTCTCCCTCTTTCTCTCTCTCTCTCTCTCCCCCTCTCTCCGACTGTGTCTGTCCATCTGACTCCTCGACTTTTCCTGGCTCCATCTCTCCCTTTCCCTGTCTTTCTCTTGCCCTTCTTTTTCCGTGGCCCGGGCCCCAGTTCTGAACCAGCTGGAGGAGTTGCTGAGCGACATGAAGGCGGACGTGACCCGCCTGCCGGCCACGCTGTCCCGAATCCCCCCCATCGCAGCCCGCCTCCAGATGTCCGAGCGCAGCATCCTCAGCCGGCTGGCCAGCAAGGGCACGGAGCCCCACCCCACGCCGGTAACCCTCCCAGTTCCGACGCCGCGTCCCCCGTCGCCACTCCGCGCGCGCGCACGCGTGCTGGCAGTGCAAACCGCCTTGCTCGGACACGCTCCCCGCCCGCGTGCCCCGCCCTCCGGAGTTCCCGAGTTGGGCCCGTGGCTACCCTACGGCGTCTTTTCTGTCTCAGACTTCGGAGCCCCTGACCTGGGCTTGCTCTCTCTTGCAGGCCTTCCCCCCGGGTCCGTACGCTACGCCTCCGGGGTTCGGGGCGGCCTTCAGCGCCGCGCCCGTAGGGGCCCTGGCCGCCGCAGGCGCCAATTACAGCCAGATGCCTGCAGGGTCCTTCATCACAGGTCAGCTGGGGGCTGCCCCTGCTCTTCCCACTTGTCCTTCCCACTGTCCGGCCTCTCCGGGTTCCCTGCAAGTGTCCCCCGGTTCACGGAACGGAGTCGCGCTGGGCTCTGGCCTTCCCACCCTTCAACTTCCCTTCCCGTTCCCGCTGGCAAAAACCTAAGGGTTCCCGTGGTTCTGTGGCCCGGTCCCTCTTACCCAAGCCTCCCCCACCTGGGTTACTTCCAGGGAAGCGCAGGGGAAATCAGAAGGGGGGGTAAATAGAGTTGGGACGCGAGAGGGGTTCACCCTGGTCCGAAGGGGCGTGGAGGTGACCTCTCTCTGACGTGCTCTGGTCGGGAAGCCACGTCTGGGAGTGAAGTCGAGACTGACCCTTCCTCACCCCCTTCCCAAACAGCCGCCACCAACGGCCCTCCAGTGCTGGTGAAGAAGGAGAAGGAAATGGTGGGGGCACTGGTCTCAGACGGGCTGGATCGGAAGGAGCCCCGAGCCGGGGAGGTGATCTGTATAGACGACTGACCGGATCCCAGGCCTGCCCATCACCCAGGCCCCGCACGCGGGGCCGCCCCCCAGCTCAGGCTCTGGGACCTGCTGCCCATCCTCCACCTTCCCCACCCCTCGGGCCGCCTCTGGGCTAGGAGCCCCCCGCCCCTCTCTACAGCTCCTCTCTTCCAGAAGGGCCCTTTGTCTTTCTCTGCTCCCGTGCACCTTTCCCACCACGCTTTGAAGGCCGTGCTGGTGCGAAGAGCTCTGGGTGGGAGGCGGTTAGCGGGGTCCCTCCCAGTACCTCTGTCCCCGCCACCGAACAGCTTCTGGATACACGGTTGTGGGGAGGAAGCAGGTGGAGCCTCCCCGGCCTCTACTCCTGCAGTACCGGCTCCGTCTCCACGGGAGCGGGGGTTAGCCTGGCCTGGCCTTTAGCAGCGTTGCTGGGGGAGGACAGCTCCGAAGAGAGGAGGGGGACTTCCGAGAGGGAAGAAGGGAAGAGGAGGGGTGGCTGCATGTTTCCTCCCCTACCTCTCCCCACGCGGGGGGCGAGCAGTTACGAGGGAGGGAGTCCATTGCTGTTCAGCCTCAGAATAAAGCCTCCAACTCACTGGCTGTTCCCTCCTGCATACCGGCATCTTGTGTTGGGAACCCCACCCCCCCAGGGACCGAGGACCACCCCCCACAGAGAGGGTAACGGTTGGGTGACACCCCCTCAAGCCAAAGAGGAGCTCCCCAATCTGTTCTAGGGATCCGGGTAACCTAGAAAGGGTGGGAGAAGATGCTACAGGCCAGACATGGGGAACCCCCGCCCCCCGGCTCGGGGGTCAGGTTCTTGGAGGACTTCTGCCCTCCCTCCTGAAGGCCGCCGGGACACAGACTCCATTTGAGCGGATCAGGCAGGGGGCCTAGTCGGGGGACTACCTTGCCTTTGGGACCAGAGCAAAACAGCGGAGGGCAGGCTGGGGAGACAACGGGCACACCCTCCCCCCCAGGAGGGGCCGGGGAGGGGGGCAGTCTGCATGGCGAACCCCTACTTCCTCTTCGCTGCCCCTCACTTTCTTGCTGCCCCCTCCCCAGTCTCTTCACTCCCCACTCCTGGGCTGTCCCCACCCCCTCTTCTGTATCAGGTGTATTGGTTGTACATATAAATTATACTTTCCTTTCCGTGTGCTCTCTTATTTTTGAGTGGGGACTTCTCTGGTGGGGGGAGGGATAAGGAAAGAAACGATATTGCTTTTTGACGTTTCATGTTACCCATCTTTTTATTTTTTAAGTCGCGTGACTTCCTGTTTCTTACTTTTCCTTGGATCATCAACTAAAACTCCAAGGCTCTTTCTCCCCCAGCCAAACCCAGTGTGATAACTCCGCGCAGAGCCGACGGGGAGCGAGCAGCAGGCTACCCACGCAGCCCCGGGGCTGAGATCAGAGACCTGCGCAGAGGCGAAGTGGAGGCGGGTTCCGGGCAAGATTATGAACTGCCTCCCATTCATCCTTTTCACTCTGCTTTCCACCTTCCAGTCGCTGAGTCCCTGCGGGAGTCAATTGAGGTCACTCCAGCCCTGGGCTCAGTTCCAAGTGTGAGGCAGAGCACCTTCCTTCTTTAATGGAGTTGGTGGGGGGGGGTCATACTTGCCAAAGATCTGAACTGCCACAAACTTCCTTGACATGTACTGTTCGCTACCAGCGCCGCTTACAGGTTGAGACCAGACACTTAGTTTTTGAGGCTATCTATTAAAAAATGAAAAGACCGATCCAACAAACATTTACGGAGGACGTACTACACATTAAACACTGCTTTTCGCCCTGGGGGATCCGAGTCACCAGCCAGCCATTGCTCTCCTGGAGCTGAGACCCGCAAGAGGCACACCGTTGAAAGACAAAATAACAAACTGGGCAACAGAGAGCCTGTGAAGGAAGGGACCGCACTGGGTGAATGAGAAGGGCCTCCCCAGAGGGAACATTCGAGCTAAGACAAGAGCAGGAAGATGCCAAGACACGGGTATAAAAACTGAGGTTTAATACTTCGTAAATTCACATTTTTAGCTCAGAAAAGTACAACATCATAAATACACAAGATGTCTTCCGCCAGAGAACGTCCCTTTACAACCTCGGGTAAAACGCGTATCGTTTAAACCAACTGTTCTAGATACTCCAGCGCAGATGGTGATACTCTCGCAAGTCTACGACATGCACCAATGTTCTTAAATGTTTGCGTGCGTACAGATCACCTGGGATTCTTGTTAAAACTCCACAGAGTCTGGAGTAGGGATCCTGAGATTTTGTGATGCCACTGTTCTGGACTATAATTATACTCTCCTAAGATAACTTACAGGATTTTAAAATAGAATCCTGGCATAGGATGGGAACTGTCCAATTACGGGGCGCTAGTTTACAAGTCTACGATGAGCATCTTTTTTTTCCCCCAGTAGTGACCGTGTTTTCCGTGTGACCGCGAGGACGATAGATCATATCAGAAGATTAAAATGTGTTGCCTTCACCAAATGGCTCTCCTCCTACCCCGACAGGCCCTAATTAGGTGTCTCAGATAAACACCCTCTGGACATTCTGATACCTGCCCTAACTGGTTGAAGGCAGATTGTGAAATGAAGCAAGGCAGACAGGCATGTCAATAATCTTAGCAACACGCTACTGGGAGTGGGGGTTGGGGGAAAAAAAACAAACCAAACACGTTTATTTTTCTCACCTCTCTAACATGCCAGAGAAGTGGGATTATTAACAGCACACAAAAACCGGCCTCCAATCTTCCACTCTGTCTTTTTAAAAAAATGTCAATCCCATGGGGGCGTCTGGGTGGCTCCGTCGGTTAAACCTCCAACTTCAGCTCAGGTCGTGATCTCAAGGTCTGGGCTCTGTGCTGACAGCTCGGAGCCTGGAGCCTGCTTCCGATTCTGTGAGTCTCTCTCTCTGTCCCTCCCCTGCTCAGGCTCTGTCTCTCTCTCTCTCTCAAAAATAAATAATAAACATTTTTAAAAAACTGTCAACCCCTTGACACAGAACTGCTAAAATGGGACCTACTGTACCCCCACGCCAGATGGACAAAAGCCTCCCTGGACAAAGGCCAAAGTCACAGCTAAGGAAACAGTGTCTCTTTCCCCCGGGGACGTAGGCAGTTGCTACCGTCCTGTCCCGGGAGAAGGCGAGGCTGGCGCAGTCCGCAGAGAGAGGGGGCGATGCGCTAGGAGCCTCCCAGCTCGGCATCCGCACGCCTCGGGGCGGTCCCTCCTGCCCGGGGCTCAGCCTCGGGACGGGCGAGGGGGTAGCCTCGGCACCCCCCCATCCCCGCTCTAGAGCGCGCCCCGAGAATGTAGCTCCCACCTTCCTTCTGCGGCAGCTTCCGGGCTCCGCCGTCACAGCGTGCAGCGAGTCATGCGGGCCAGGTCCTTAATCTCCGGGCAGTACAGCACTGGAGGGACAGACCGAGGGTCAGTGGCGGCGGGGGGTCGCGGCCGAGGCCCCGCGAGCCCGGCCGCCGCCCCCGCCCCTTCCCGCAGCCTCGCGTCCCCCGCAACCCCCCCACAAGCGGCCCCTCACCGTTGCTAGGCAGCGGACGCCGCCAGCGGCGCGCGGGCGCCAGCACCCGGTGCCACAGCCGCCGGAGCGCGCGCCAGCCCGCGCCCCTGGGTCCCGCCCCCTCCTCGCTCTCCTCGCCGTCGTCGGCGTCGCCGCCTCCCCGCACCGGGCCGCCCGCCTCGTCCGGCTTGCGCTCGGCCCGCGCCCTTTCCTCCAGCCGCGACCACAAGTCCGGGTCCACCGCGACCTCCGCGACCCCGCCGCGCGGCAGCGGCGTGGGCGCGCGGCAGAAGGGGCACGTGACGACGCGGCGCAGGCGCACCACGCCGCCGTCGCCGCGCGCCGCCAGCTCGCGCAGGCACGCGGTGCAGAGCGTGTGGCCGCAGCGGGCGCGCGCCGTGCCGGGCAGGCGGCGGGGCGCGCGGCCCGCGAGGTTGAAGGGCCGGTAGCAGATGCCGCAGTCGAGCTCGTCCCGCTCCGGAAGGGACGGCACCCTCACCAGGAGCTGCATGGTGTCCGCCGCCGACTCGAGGGCGTCGCGGGCTCGGCCGGCTGCGGGGACGGAACGCGCTGGCCCTCCTAGTGGCCTGGGTCGGCTCCTGGGGCGGGCGCCGCGGCCTCTCGCGGGGGTTTTAACAGCGAGACCCCGCCCCTCGCGGCGTCACCCGGGTGGTTGGACCGCTCCCCGCCTTGGCACGCGTGGGGGCGGTGGAGGCGCGAAGCCGGGAATGCCGGGCACAGCCGGGCGGGGTAGGTGGCCCCAGGTGGCGCGCGGACTGGGCCGGTGGGAGGCACACGGGCCGGCTCTCCTCGCGCCTTCCTTCGTCCCCCGACACTAAGCCAGCGCCCCCTTAATAACGTGTGCCCATCTCCAGGCCCCTTGCCGCGCCCTGGCCCTCAGCCGCTGGCCCAGGGGCTGCCCAGGTCTCCGCTGCCCGCTGGGCCTGTTGGCTTAGGCGCTCAGGCTCGTTCACACCCCCGCCCAGACTTCCTGCCTGAGCCAGTGACACTGTCCGTTCTGCCCAATCCTTAGTGGGCTCCCGGACGATCGGCACGGAGGCCGCCTTCGAGTCACTTCATTAAGCACGTCCTGCCTGGGTTCTGGGAAGGCCAGCCTGCCAAACTCATTCTCTTCAAACTGCTCATCTCTCAGCTGACATCGCAGCCTAAGGAGCCACCTAGATGCCAGGACCGTGGATGGCCTTCCTGCTAGGAATGCTGGGAATCCTTTCCTTCCCGCGGAGCCAGGCCGGGGCACCCACACACCGTGATGGTCTCAGCCAAGCAGCCCAGCCTGAGTTCTGACTCAGGGGTCTGACTTCCCTGGCAGGTAAACAGGACGGAACACAGCCCACACTCCCTCCTGGGACCGCACCCACCCCAGCTGCCTCCCGGCCCTACTGCCAGGTTCTGTTGTGGGAGGTCAGAGCACAGTCCCTAAGACCAGCTGGCTTGAGTTCAGATCGGCACTTAGGAGTTGTGACACTTTGAGCAAGTTACTTAACTTCTCTGGACCGGTTGCTCTCCTTTATAAAATGTGGATAATAATAGGAGGGATGAATTTGTATACATAAGGCGCTTAGGACCGGGCCTGGCCCACAGAAAACACCGTGTGTTAGCTATTTTTATCCCGTGCCCGCAGCCTATATATTGTGTTCACTTGCTTAGTACGCGACATTTTCAACATCTCTCTCAGTCAGGACAGGGTGTGCTTCTCTACACCCATGGCATTTGTAGATGCTATTTTTTTTTTTAATATTTTTATTTATTTCTAGGAGAGAGAGAGAGAGAGACAGCGCGAGCAGGGGAGGGTCAGAGAGAGAGGGAGCCACAGACTGAAACAGGCTCCAGGCTCCCAGCTGGCAGTCAGCACAGAGCCCGACGCGGGGCTCGAACCCACGAACCGCGAGATCATGACCCAAGCGAAAGTCGGACGCCCAACCGACCAAGCCACCCAGGCGCCCCTGTAGATGCTATTTTTTAAAAAATGTTTTATTTTATATTATTAGAGAGAGAACACGAGCAGAGGAGAGACAGAGAGAGGGAGGCAGAACCTGAAGCAAGCCAGGCTCTGAGCTGTCCGCACAGAGCCGGACGCGGGGCTCCAACCCACCAGCCGTGGGAGCGGGACCTGAGCCCTAGTCGGATGCTCAACCGACTGTGCCACCCACGCGTTCCATGCTGGGTTTGTTTTTTAAGTAGGTTGTTAAAACCCTAACGGAGAATCGGTTTGCAAGGAGGTGTATATACATTACTTGTAAGCGAACATTGGAGAACTTCTAGTTGTATTGTCCTCGTGGTCGCTTGGGGGACGCTGTCTACTTAGGCCAACGATACTGTCATAATTCAAATCTGTTTCTGGAACTTCGCTTTGGACTGGTGTTCATAAGTCTCCTCACACCCTTTCACATCTGCAGGTGGTGGTTACACGTGAACCATCTGGGGCAGATGTGATGATGTAAATGACCCCCAAGCCTTAGACTAAGCTCCGACCTTCCTATCTTGTTTGTCGTCAAAAACCCGAAGTGGCGCTCTCTTCGTCCGAATCAGCACTTTTCCCATGTTTCCCACCTCTTTCTTTTCTTTTCTTTTTTTTTAATGTTTTATTTATTTCTAGGAGAGAAAGAGACAGCGTGAGCAGGGGAGGGTCAGACAGAGAGGGAGTCACAGACTCTGAAACAGGCTCCAGGGGCTCGAACCCACGAACCGCGAGATCATGACCTAAGCGAAAGTCAGACACTTAACCGACTAGGCCACCCAGGCGCCCCTCCCACCTCTTTCTTTACCCAGCTCCAGAATCATCCTCGATCCCCACTCACTCACACCTTCCTTTACCGACTCCTCAGCAAGCCCTGCTCTTCTTGCGTCCTGAACGTCTCCCTGGCGCACCTACTTTCTCTCCACTTACAGAACACCGCACCGGTCCCGGGCGCCCTCATCCCCCGCTTAGGCCCTGGTAGGAGCCTCTCAGGCAGTCTGTCCACAGCCATCTGGCCTTCTCCAGGCTTCTCCCTACGCTGCTTACAGTGATCTTTCTAGATCTCAAGCCCAGCCAAGTCCCACCACACACCACTTCCATCCCTGCTTAAAACCTTTTAACGCGGTGATAGTGGACTAGCTCCACGTTTCCTCTGCCGTCTCTCTGCCGCTCCTCCCGGCAGGAGTTGGGGGCTGCCCCTGGCCCTTGATTCTGGGCTCACCTTGTGACTTGCCTGCACGGACAGAACATGGCAGAAGTGATGTAGTGCGAGTTCTGGGAATGGTCCTCCAGGGGCCTCGCAGCCTCTGCCTTCACCCCTTCAGCTGCCCCGAGTCTATTACGTAAGGAAATTTACCAGCAGATGAGGCTACACAGAGAACCGAGGAGTCCTAGCCAATAGCCAGATGTACCAGTGAGGCCGTCTATTTTCCCACTCGGCCGACCCTCCAGCCGCCTCCAGCCACGTGAGCGAGTCCAGGTTCCAGGTGAAAACAGCAATGGAAACAGCCAAGCCACAGAGTAAGGGGGGGTGGGATCAAAGTTTTAAAAAGTTGTTTCAAGCCACTAAATCTTGGGGGTGAATTGGGTGTGTCCATGGATAACTGATATAGAGGGTTTCCTATTGCCCTTAGGATGAAAAGAATATTCCAGAGTGCCCTCTACGGTCCTGTATGCCCTGAACCTACCCGTGTCTCTCAGTTGGCTTCCATTCTCTCTTTAGACCCTCTAGCTTTGACCTTTGGCACACACGTTCCTTTCTGCCACGAAGCTTCTGGGTGCGCTATTCCCGTAACCCGCTTTCCTCTGTTACCCCCCACTCATCCTCCAGCGCCAAGCCTCACCTTGTCAAATACTGCTGTGGACTCAGGTGACACCAAGTGCTTGCCTTTGAACTTTGGACAACAGAAATTTGTGTCTTTTGGGGGGCGACTTGTTCGCCGTTCCCATCTGTAAAGTCCCTGCAGGCTGTTCTGGGTGTGATTTTGTTTACCACTGTATCCCTGTGCCAGACCATAGTGGGACTCAATAAATAAATACTTGTTAAATTAGTGAATGAGGTGCGTGATAAATACCGTAAATGAGGTGTGACTATAAAGGAGGATTTCTTACAAGCCCTTTACAAACAGGAGGCAATTCCTAAGAGCCCTTTTTTTTTTTTTTTTTTTAGCATTTTGAGCAAGGGTCTGGGGAGACGTTATTAAAATAAACGGATAATCCTCCGAGGTAACCATTTAAAGAGAATACTATTTTGAATTTAGAAATTCTTGCATGTTTGTGACAGAATGAATAATCATAGTTTAGTCATGCGATTTACGTCCCGGTTTCCGCCAGTCTCCCAAAGCGAGTGGGAGATGTCAGGAGGGATGTACGTGTTCATTAGTGGATCCGGTCGGCTGCTAGCCAGCAAATGGGAGGCTGCTGACTTTTCTCTTTTTGGAAATTGGTTTTACTCTGCTCCCTCCGCTCCAGGATTGAGGAAGGGCGAGGACGCACAGAAAGGAGGTGGTGAGGTTGTATTTTAAGGAAGGCAGAGCTCATCCTCCCCCGTCTTGTGATCTGTGGAACTTTCCACCCACTTCGTGTCCCCGGGGGAATCGGACTCCCCCCCGGGGAAGATGGGGGGGGTATCTGACATAATCCCATTCGAGTCTCTGCTTTCCTGCCACCCTCACGCCTGACCTTTCACTGGTCTTCTTTTTTCCTCCATGAAAACTCCTTTCCCTCCCTTTCTCTGCATCATCTCAACCGCAGACCGGTTTTCATCGTACCTCTCCTCCACCAAATCCCAAAGCCTCCACCTCAGAAGAGCCCCTCCCGTTCAGCCCTGAGAAAACCACCCAGAGAGCTCCTTGGCACGTGTGTGGGGGGATCAGGAAAAGGGAAGTGAAACATACGAGAAGTGTGGCTAACGTTAGCTTTAAACAACTCTAAGGCATGGGTGTCAGAGGGAGCGGCAAGGCGACGATGAAGCCAGATGGCTGGGTCCTAAGGCATGCAGTGACTGAAGGAAGGGTGGGGCCTGGGGTGTCTGGGCCCGGGTCCCTGGCGAGGGCAGTGACTACCAACATGATGTCAACCCAGGTCGTTGGAGAGAAGGCTAGGACTGGAGCTCTCTAATGGCAGGGAGCTAGGCGAAGGCCTGATGTCTGAGACTGAGACCCCCGTGCAATATCAGACACCGTGATTGAGGATCAAGCCGAGTTTATTTACAAGTTCCCTGGGAAGTCTTTACAGACGAGGACCCATCATTATTGCTGTAAGATTATTGCCAGAAGGAAGACTGTAGTCTTCCATTGCCAGGTAGGAAGTCCTGCTCAAGGCTCAAAAGTCTATCCCCGGACATTTTTATGTTGGCCCCATGTGTCCTCCGTGACCAGAAGGCTGTCACTAGGTCCCCCCTTCAAAGCACAGCCCAACTTTTCCGAGAGGCCACCCTAACCACTTTCGCCAGCACATGCTATGTATACATCTGCCATCGAATTTCCCTTGACCCGCGGCAGAGCGGTGTCACAGTGCGGTATTTCCCACCA